TTCAGAACTTTCTTGAAAATGTCAAGATTACAATGGCCAAGCCTTTTGTGCCACAAGTCTAAAGTAGACAGTTTTTTAAAACTAGTAAAGAAAACAGAAGGAAAAGATTGAAGATGGCTGCTGGTTTTTGTGTGGTGAGGAGTTGGATTTGATAGCTCAAACTGATAGAGTCCTTGATTAAGATCCCCTTGGAGTAGAACCTCCTGAGTTACTTGGTCCTTCACAAAACAATGAAATGGGTGAAACTCAAAGAACACATTGTTATCTAAGGCAAATATTGACACACTCAAGAGATTTTTGGCTACACTAGGAACATGCAGCAAGTCTTTTAAAACAAAAAATCTATTTGAGTTGTTGACCTTAAGATGAGATTTACCTATATGAGAGATATTTTCACCAAAACCATTACCCATGTGAAGTTTGTTGCTTCCTCCATATTCACTTGCAATGCTCAAGTTTGTGAAATCATTGGTAGCATGGTTGGTTGCACCACTGTCTGGGTACCATTGATTTGCCTCAGTAGCCACCTCTGATGGAGTGAAATGTTGTGTGTGGACCATGTTAGCTGTTGGGCTGTTGAAGCCTCTTGTTGAGTTTTCAGGAGTGCTGCCCATGTATCCACTATCATACCTATACCAACACCTTTCTGCAGTATGTCCAGAGATACCACAAACTTGGCACTGAATTCTTGATCTAGAGGTTCTTCCTCCTCTTCATCTATTTGGTCCTCTACCTCCTCTTCCTCTGAAATTTTGGTTAAAGGGAGCTCTTCCACCTTTGTTCTGTGGTGCATTTCTTGGGAAGTTCTGAGTCATGGCAGCATTAGCCATAGGGTAAGACCCTTCATTGTTAACTAGAGGAGAGGTGAGACCTACTGATACTAGCCTTGACTCAAAGCTCATGAGTAAGGCTTGTAGGTCAATCATAGACCATGGCTCAATCCTTGAAGACACAGTGACCATTATAGGATTATATTCTTGCCCAAGACCACCAATTAGATGCATAATCTGATCCTTCTCAGAAACAAGATGTCCTGCTGCAGCTAAAGCATCAAAAAGGGCTTTCATTTTGCTTATGTATTCTTTCATAGTTAATGATCCCTTTTTGAGCCCTTGAATTTCCATTTTATACTGCATTACTCTAGCCAAGGACTGACTACTGAAATTCTTTTGAAGTGCAGACCATATCTCTTTTGAGGAACTTAAGCCAACCATCAGTGGAAGAATACTGTGACCTAAAGATGAAAGGATCCATGAAGCTAAAAGACTATCTTGCCTTTGCCAAGTTGTGTAGTCTGGATTGAGAGTGATAGGCCCAGCTGGATCTGTGATGTACCTCTGAGGTGGTTGGTTTGTCCCATCTATGAATCCCTCCAAGCCATAGCCTTTGATGGCCATTTCAACCTGCTGCTTCCAGATGAGGAAGTTTCCATCATCAAGCTTCACTGTTACTAGCTGATTGTTGGGAGAGATAAGCTGCAATGAGCTCGAGCTTGAAGGATTCATGGACGAGCTAATTTCTGACATTTTTTTTTTTTTGAAGGAAAGAAATTCTGAGTAAAATAAAAAAAAAAAGAGAAGGATCAGAGTCAGGTATAAACCTGCTCTGATACCATGTTAAATAACATGGATTTCTGCATTAATCTCAAGGAAGATCATATGAAAAGGAAACATTCTTGCTTTCTCATTGAACAATGCGGCAGAAAATAATTACAGAACTTACTAAAACCTAGTATCCAACAAGAGTATTTATACTAGCATGAGATCTCTCTAGAATATGAACACATGTAATCATCTTGTTGTAAACAATAGATAAATCCTACGGTTGAGCTAGATGACCATGCACAGTTCTCATTGGTGCTCCACTTATCCATGTCATGCAAGAAGACAACATTACTGCTGCATGGGTTGCTCGTGTTCACACCATGCAGAACCGAGTTACTGTGCTTGTGCTGTAATGTTTCCTTTTTACTGCTTGAGTTTTCTGTGACTTCTAACAGAGACAAACAACAGCACTGGCACTAGCGTGCTGAGCGAACATGTTTGCAGACAAGGAGGAAACTGGTGACCACATGGAGAGAACTCGCGACCTGGGTGAAAGCATTTGCGGGCACGGATAGGCAGGGACGCGCGCAGAGAAGCTGCACCAGGCGGGAACGCGCAAGGTGAGCTGGGACGAAACGCGCACGAGAATACTGAGTGAGGAGAGACTGCGCGATGCGCGCGAGCCTACAACGCAGAGACGCGGGGAAGACTCGAGGTCTCCGGGTGCGCACGGGTCTGAGCAGCAGGTCAGGCTGACAGTCTGAGCTGATCATACAAGGGCACGGACGAGGTGTGAAGCACAAGCAACGCAACTGCTTGGGATCAAGAAGGCTCATGAATGTTCTAGAAGATGGTTGGTTCTAGATGCTTTGGCCGATTTTATTATTTTAGTTAATTAGGAGTTTATTTATTTCCCTAGATTGTTTAGGGGTCATATTATTTGGTAATTTAGGAGAGATATATTTAATTAACCTAGGATAGATATTTAGTTTCTTTAAGTTAGAATTCTAGTTCGTATAAGTTTAGATTTGTTTCTAGTCTCTAAATACCCATGCTATGTTCAAGTTTTTCATATAGATTAAAGTTAATAAGAAATCGTCCTACTTGGGCACAAATCTCGTGTTTGAATTCTTGCATAGTTTTATCAAAAAGTCGTATTAGGCAAAGACCAAAATTCGAGCTTTTCATATCCTATCGTGAAGTACGAATGCGTCGACGCGCGTATTTGCATATATCGTGGATAATCAAGGCGGTTGGCGCGAGTTCAAAGCAAAAACAAGTTATCGAGATACACTATTTAGAGGCTTTCATTGGTCGTGTATCCTCGTATCATGTGATTACTAAAA